GGGAAGTGTAGACCTAGTTGGTCTTATTTGCTCATATACATAGTTCACAATAAAGCCAGCATCTCTTAGTTATTTCAAAGTGGAGGTTATTTGGCACTCAGTTTGCTGCGTTCAGTCCTTTTCTTCAGGATTAGAGCTAAATTTTGATTCTTCATTCAGAATCGCAGTGAGCTTGTCAATGTAATTGCATTTGTTCATCACCACTATTCCGTTTCCTTTGTCTGGCCTGATCAATATGACCTCCTGGTTAGTCAATAATTCCTTCACAGCATCTAAGTGCTCTTTTCGGACTGGTCTTTGAAGTCTTGGTTTAATCTTTCGGTAAGAATGACAGATGTTTACTAGGGTTGACTTAAGTTCCTCCGGTGCTTCATTAGATTTTGGCATCAACCCTCGAGTCTGAAAGTATAGAGTTTCAAAATGTACCCCATAATCGAACTTGTCCCGTCTTCTGATAGGGATACAAAGTTCGGTCCCAATGACAATGCCTCAATCATGGTATCAGTCAAATGCAAGTTAGATTGGTTGTGCACATACGGATCAGGACGATTTGGGGAGACCTCGCGTTCAGTCTTTTCAGTAACATATGCTGTCTTTTCTCTGTTCTGGATTTCATGGTTTGTTTAGTTTATTTAAGGAAAGTGACCTTAAGATTTTGATTTAAACAGTCCACAAAATGATGACTCTGTGAAATATTCTGTTCATATTCCAGCAATTCAGAACGCAAAGCGTCACATCGGTTCAACACACAACGACGTAGTGTTTTGCTGTTCGAATAAATCCGGTTTCGACGTAGAGCTTTCCAGTATAGTAAATAAGACCAACTAGGTCTACACTTCCCAGGCTGTACGAACTTCCCAAAATTCACAAACGGAGAACTCCCATTCGTCCCATATTGTCGATGACAAACTCAACTTAACACAGTGCTGCACGCTGGCTATCCGAACTACTGGAGCCAGTCAAACAACACATGGTTATACACAGTCTGAAAGATACTTTTGATTTCATACGTCGGATAAAGGATGNCCATGTTGTCGATGACAAACTCAACTTAACACAGTGCTGCACGCTGGCTATCCGAACTGCTGGAGCCAGTCAAACAACATATGGTTATACACAGTCTGAAAGATACTTTTGATTTCATACGTCGGATAAAGGATGCTAATTTTAAAGACAAAACAATGTTTTCACTAGACGTCGAGTCCTTGTTCATAAACGTACCACTGGTAGAGACGATCGATTTCTTGGTGAATTACATTGACGAAAACAACTTTAATGTTGAACCATTTATTCGACATTTAGCGCACAGCGCACAGGACTTTAAACCCCGATTCGTTTAAAAACATGGAAACTCCACAAATTCAAATAAAACTCGTGATTTACATGTGGTCAATTGATGCTACAGGATTGATAGAATCTCGATGTTGACATATCTGATATACCAACTTTTACAGTCGTTCCAACTGACTTTCCCTCGAGAGCCATAACTCATGTCCCAGAAGGAAAGCAGAATAATCCGTACTCTGAACACAAACATAAAAGTCGAATCGCATAATCTAACATCTATTTAACCAAATGAACGGATTCATTTTTGCGAAAGTTGACGTACGATTTCTCCAAAAGCCTCACCTCTCATTCAAGACAGAATAAATACTCAATCTGTGAAACTGCTTCCGCTTCAGTAGTGATCTTCCAACTTCGCCGATAAATACTCAACGGAATTTCAGTAAATTACTTTTTACGCAGAATCTCAATTAGGTTTGTCCGCGACTTTTTCAAAATTATTGTGTTAGCAAATTCAAGCAGTTCCAACGAAGTTGGTAGTTTAACTCGTATAAAATGTCATAAAGTTAAAATGTGAGTCTTCAAAACACTCATCAACCCCAACACAAGAAACACAAGCATATGATGTCATTTTGAGTTAGTTTCAATTGCACCATCCCAGTGAATTTGTGTCTCTGTTTCACAGTATATTATAATTGAATGGGATCTTTATAACACGAGTCGATGACTAACGTCAGGCTGTTTTGGTATTCCAAGAGGTAGTTAGGTTTTCGCTTGAGTGTGCCAATGGTAACAGACCTTGGAAAATACGTTGGGTTGTGAGGCAGTCAGATCTCAATACTATTCACTCAACCGTTGTTGTTGGTGTGATTCCAGTTTGAAACAGATGGTCAATCAGTAAAATTTCGAATCTACTCCGGAAATGCAACCCATCATCGGATCAAAACCGCGCTAACCGCTAGTGGTTTCCCAAGGCCGTGTTGCGAAGTTTGTATATGACTACTTCATCCTCGATAAGCTGATTCATTTGTAGAGACCTATAAAGTGCATCAATCCAAGTTTACGTGGAATATCTACGTGCACCTTTTAGGTGCAATAAATGAGGATGTCTGTTTACAGGGGAAAAGTATAAAAACGCAAATTCGGGTGAATATTTTGGGGTGATTTTGGAGTAAAGTGCAAGGGGTGTACATTAAGGCTGGTTATACATCTGTTCTTAGTTCTCAACAGAATAGCACATACACCCAATAAAGTGGGAAGAGACAACGAAGAAGCCTGTTATAAGCAATTTACTCAAACCTGTAGGGGATAAACAAGAATCATGCAGACCGACACCACGGTCATCTGTCCCTTATTAGCAATTCTAAAGTGTAATTGGTCTTACATCGGCATGATCCCAGTCCCTGCTTTCTTGCCTATTGAACCAGAAGCAACTTCAGAGTTGCTTCGTCATCAGAGATTTCGGATCATCCTCTTGTGATATTTCCATTCTGGTATTTTATGACACACTTTTACGTGTCGTTGAAACCTTAAAATTCCCTGACTCCTAAAGAATCTCGTTCAATCTCAACAATCGGATAATTGGCGCAGTAATCACTTCAACGTGGTGAATTTAATATCCAGTTTTAGGAGGAAACTAAGCCACATTAGCCTGTGATATGAACTGACCGTTCACCCCAAAATCATTTGAATTTTTTCTGGTGCTATATGTATGTGAATATATATATGCGCGTTTCCAGAGAACTTTTCTCCTGTTTTTCAGATCCCACTAGTTACTTAATACTCAGGAGTTGACTCCACTCAATTGTGTTGCGGTTAGCGGGTAACGCACAATCAAAGTATCGATTCACGTACAAAAAAAATAAGCACACATTGTTCAAAAATTTTCTCCCTGAGATGAATAATCAAAGCTTGCTGAAAAATACATGCATAGTTTAGGTATACACATCAGCCACCGACATTTTACCAGATACTATGTTAATCAGTATAAGTCGTCATATTGCTCGCATTCTTCCAGGAGAGTGTTTGTACGTTTTTTTATAAGCTACTTTTGATACTAATCTTGATGAATCAGCACGATTACGATTAAACCTTACGTTTTATTATTATTTATTATTATTCTGAACTTCACTGAGGAAGGAGTACAGGAAAGAGCTGAACAGCTGAAAACTGGATCGAATGCAAGCACAAAGAACATATAAACCAGATTGGGTTAGAAAGTGGTTGTTTACACGAGCAACTTTGCTTAGGACAGCCATGTCACCCGTTGATGATAACTGTCGATTAGGTTGGTCACGAAATCTTGAATGACCCAGAGTCCGGACCAGGGTTTTCACATACCATAAGCCAGGCCGGACGTATTCGAACCAATTTTTTTCTCCCCCAACTCACTAGCATCAAGCCGAGAAAGCTCACTGTGCACTTGCCGAGGTGAGTGATCGCGATGATCTAATACTTTCCATCTAAGCTCGTCATTGCTTCTCACCTAATTCCGTTGTGCTTTACAGTGATGCGTAGACCCCGGTGTTCAACCGGCCATAGTTTGTGTTTCTCTCCTTCCCGTAACGGTCATGTTTCTGTACCATAAAACAGCTCTGGCTGGACAGGTTCAGCGCACACTAACTAGACTCTTAACGGAAAACCAAATGTCACGGTGGTGCTAAAGTTGTCTCAAGTTGACAAACGCTAGCCAAGACTTCTCGGAATAAATCCCACGGCAATAAATCTTGGTTACTTGACTGTCAGTAAAGAAAGCCCTGCATGATAAGCGTTGGTTATTCCAAAATACAGTGATAACAGTTGCAAAAGCTCTCCCCCAATGAACCAACGGATTTTCATTTTGAGTAACTAAAGGAGAGATAAGCTCAAGAAAGGTACTCGATTGCGGCGACCCACGAACGTGAAACAATGCCATTCAAATACGAGACATTTATTTTATACACGTATCTCTAATTCACTCTCGCATCTTTATGATTGAAAATGAAAAGCGAATTACTATCACAGGTGATCGATTAAAATTCGAACAAAGCTATTAACCAAGCCAGCATTCTTCGAATTCGATCTGGAATTGAGTTGGATATCTTTTAACTCCACCAAGCACGATGACAACAGAGCATCAACGCTCATCTGTAACCATGGCAACCTCTGGTCTATTCATATGCAAATAACAGGCAGTGTCAATCTGACCATTAGGCGGATGAAAATGACGTCTCGTGAGAGCGTCTCGTGATTCGAACAGATTTTGTCGGAAATTGTTCAGCCCCATCGAATTGGCAGATCGAATCATTTGATGAGACACTGTTGCTTTACTCGAGTGAACCAAATCGTTCGCTCGATTGGACGTCACCGAATACCAATCCAGGGCAAAGGTCAACCGGAAGCTAATATTGGCATTACTTCCATATATCACGACCGAGCTACCACCATCTTTCATTCTGAACTTTTGAATGTATGCGATCAAAATGGCATGATTTTGCGTAAGTAGAAAGTTCAATGGTATCCATCATCGATCAGCTATTTCGGTGAATCACTCCGGTATCAAAATTTCCTCGTCCAACTGATACAACTATAGATGTGCGTGCAAAGCATGGTATGGGAAGCTGGTCGGAAAACAGCAGAAAGCGGGAACGAAGATTTGCAATCTCTCAGAAGGATGGGAAACGGTTTGCAGAACGACTAAGCCACTTTTGCGTTCTGATAGTATCAGACTCCACCGGTTGTCACGTCACTTCAGAGCTTACTGTGAAGTACACAGTGGGATCTGATAATGACTTGGTGGAATGCACGGGCAGTGAAATGACCATGCCTGCCCTATTGTGGTTTGTGGGCTTTGATGCACATAGCATTAAGTGACTCACACCCGAGAAATATTATCGTATCATCGCCACCCTCGTTACGAGTTAAAGATGGTTCTTTTCATTCTGTTATATGCCTACAAACGAAAATCTTTTGTTCATCTTCGATGTGGATAACCCAAAACAATAACAATGTTAATTCCAAATAGAAAAAGGAGTGGCGAATAAGCTCGTTCTCAGTGATTCGTACTCATACCAAGTACATCACAATGAATATCACACTGCTTATAAATGTATCAATATTCAAACATTAAAAAACTAATCAATTGTTTTGAAAAAGGGATTTTTTCATGTTTGAATATTGATAGGTATATATACAGTGTGATATTTATTGTGATGTATTTGGCATGACTACGAATCACTGAAACCAGTCTTATTCGCCACTCCTTGATCTATTTGAAATGTGTTCCATGGAGCTGTTTAGACAATAATACTAATTCTTTTAAGACCAAACATCGCTGTACAGGAAAGGCATCGGATATTAACTAGAGTACAAAAATAATTATGTACATGAGTTTGATCATTGCGAGTGAAATAATGCAAGGTTGTGCAAAAGCGTACAATCTGCTGTGTTCATCGTCAATCAATAAATGAAAATAATCACCAACTCTGCAAATATATCATCCATCATCCATATTATTTTAACGGAACAATAATGCAGATGAGCAAACTGTTCTCCTTATACTAAATGCTCAGTGTATTATTCTCGAATGCCTGTAAATTGTTATGCCGGAATGCTGAAATCCGAGTCGGAGCTAACTGACACAAGAAAACCGGGCACATTGTCACACGTATCATCTGATTGAGTAGGAATGTATTGTAAAAGAAAAGAAAGGGAATGGTGGATGGATTCTTTTTCATCGGAAATCTGTGCTTTCAGTTCCGACTGAGCCATTTCTCTTCCGATGAAGGTCAAGGCACAGCGAACCAAATCACACAATGGGATCTGATTTATCGTTGTCAGACACGAATGATGTGAAACTGCTTGGATCGGACTGCAAAACTGATCGCTCTCGCGTGCAACGAAATAATTGTGAAGAAGGTCTCTGATCCTCAGAATCTGAATACCAGATTGATGCTCTTTAAATCCAAATCCGAAAAGAGACAGAAATATCCGTTGCGTAATAAAAGCAGTATAATAGAAACAAGGTTTGTTGAGCAGTGAAAAAACTACTTTATGGCTGAGAAATGAACTGTGGTTGAATTTTCCTAAATATTTAACTAAAACAATGGTTGGAACAAAAGTACAAATAAAGTTATAAAATAAATATTTTGTGAGAATTTATAATTTGGAAAACAATTATTTAGCGGTGGAATACTTCCGACCTTAAAAATTGATCATAAATTAGTTACAAAGTGGCACTGGGGAATAATTGTTCGAACATTAAAAATTAATTGTTGGGAACAGAAGTGGAGTGATGAGGATAGACGGACTGTTATTATCGCATTTTGCCAAGAGTTACCGACATCAATAATAATTTTCTCCTTAATAATTTGGCATTTTCGGGAATAGTTGAAAATAGGATGACTGAGACTGATTTCTTAGTAGTTGGTTAGCATCGGTTCACCTTATACAAGGGATTTCTGCCCGCTTACCAGTCCGAATGAGTGAAAACCAATTAATTGGAAAGGAATGACCTTTCTCAGTGTCACGACAACTCAGAAATACGTTTTTTCGCCCAAGGTTACCTGTTCCCATTTATTCAATCACTCAATGGATGAGACTCGTTCCACTACAAATACTAAAACTGCTGCAGAAAAGTTTAATTTCTTTCGATGCGCTCCCCCCGTTCCCTCCTTTAAATCTCCGAATTTGTATGCAATCGTGGTGTTAATTCAATTTCTCAATAAACTTAATGTGTTTTCTCTTGGTTCCCATTCGTGGTCTTCATCGTTTGGCTCAGTTACTTCACACACCAAATATGACATCCGAGTTTCAAAATTAAGGTTTATGTATGCTGATGCTTACTAGCACTGAGCAATGCTATGTAATCCGGGAATTTTCAAGAGTCTATCTGAATAAGAGTTCCCTATTTTGAGTCTCTTCTATGTTCATTTCAACATATGGAATCAGTACAGGCGCTGATGTGTAATTGTGGTGATCCAGATATACGTGACCGCATTCCAAATAAGACCAGATACAGCCTGAGGTCATCCAAACAAATTTCCGGAAACTGAACCAATGGTACACCGGGTGAACATTAAATCAGAGTTAGTACATGAGACGCGTCTGCGCAAACGGTTACGCGATTGGACGATGGTCCTTCGACCAATTGCTTTCTACAAAACATGCTTTATTTCTATGAATAAACAGTGGCACTTGCTGCTACCAATTCTCCGTAGTTCAAGTACGAGGCAATCTAGTTCTCAGGATCCTAATACGGGTTCTTGTATTTCTGTATTCAATACAATTCCGATTACTACAATAATGCATATAGGTACTGAGAATACTTTTCAAGCAAATTCCATCCAGAACGCCTATAGATGGCCAGTGTTTTACCATACGAGCAGCCGTAGACTGCAACCCCCAACTAGTCACCATTTTACGAACAACTTTATTGCGAAGCTGTTTGTCCGTATAAATTTCTCAAATATCTGATTTTATAACTACTTAGGCATACTTTATTTAATTAGCTTTTTGAAGCAGTGAACTCATTGACTACGGTGGCGATATGATCCACGTCTTCCTTCGACACATTCAATTGCAACCTTTGTCTACATGATTTCCATACTTTCACCTGGTACTACTTTCGAAATTTCTTTATCCCTTCTACTATATCCTCCAAATTGGTTTCCAAAAGACAGCAAACCAATCGCCGCATGTCTGATTGTTGTATAAATTGAAATAGAAGCTTCAGAAACATCCAAGCACTAAACGATCTTATCTTGGGCTCTTTTCCACGCATTAGAACAACGGTGTTCTCGATGTTCTCAGTCTATAAACTATTTACCTTAGCACTGAATGTAAACGTTAAAGAAAGCCATGTATACCACATGGCTTGCCCAGCAAAATATGAGCGATATAGCCGCATTCGGCTTCCGTAACCTTTTAACCTGTCACTTGCTCAAATAGCTCGCATAGTACTTTTACCGTTAATTTGGTCATACTCTCACGGAATTTGGTAAACGTGTCACATCGATTTTGTAAAGGGCATATCTTATTCACCTTACGTTTGTCCGTTTATTCCAGCATTACTTTCAATATCATCCGTCACTAATCCCTGGACTGTTCTCAGTATAGCATGCAATAACACGAATACAGTAATAATTTAACTGGTTTCCCAAATCTCCTTTGATCTTCCTTCCGTACATCCGGTTGATTAAATCAAAACCGTACTCTCCGATTCCCATCCTGATCTAACCCAAACTTCGTTGCATTACACGTTCAATTGTGATACATGGACCGGCTTTTGGAAAACTGCCAACGACTTTGTTATGTCCGTGACAAATGTTATTCAGTACCGCTTTATTGATTTGCATCTTGTTCAACATCAACAATGACTTCTGAAACACTTCTGTTTCATTGTATACAATACCATCATGTGTTATATTGCCCTTATTTTAGAGCTACCAAGCTCCTCCTAGAGCAATACCAGCGAACCATTTGCAGTGCTATCAATTCTCGTTCATTCTAACCAATGCATCAATCAGCATGAAAATGTGAACTCGCTTCGTGCTCAAACTTTTACCGTTCGTTCTCCTTCCTCATGTTCACTATCACAATCAACAGTTCCGCGTCACGTGTTAACCTTGATTAAAAGTTTTGTATTGACTCCGCCTGAAAAAAATTTAGTCATTTCTGAAGGGTGGATTCACAAAGTTGTTAATCACCACTGGCAAGAACGGGAAGAATTGCTTGTTTGTTTAATTAATTTAGGGAATTATCGGTGGTGTGCACGGAACGAATCCATTAAGGTTTGAACCGGGGCACAAAGAGTTGAAAGTCTGACATGAAATTCATTTGGGTATTTGAAGCTTCTCAAAGATTTGTGCTAAAACTTTTACATTAGATCGAACCAAAGGGTTACAGAAAATGTGTTATGCTTTGTGCATTATTCAACCAATACCTTTTCTTGAAATTATTCTTGCAGATTAATAACTGGTTGCTTGAAACAATTAGCATATCTCTGATGTGTGTATTTCAATTTATGCATTCTCCGGCTAATTCGACGAGATGTGTTGCCACCACAAGGTCATGAGACCTATTATCTGTTGAACAGAATGCACGATTCCAGCAGGTCATACCATGTGCAGTAGAATAAAGGTGCGTGGTAAACTTGGATCGAACTGCACGTTTTCACTTGTAAGTACTGTACTACTGCGCACTTCAGAATGAACATACTTGATTAACCTTAACAGTTATTCGAAGTGAATGTGTATTTACAACTTAAACAGAAGACCATAAAATTGAAAAAGCCTAAACTCACATACCGCCCACCGTTCGCACTCACCACGCAACTGACGGGCACAGCTGATTTAGTGTAACCCCCGAATATGCATCAATTTCAATGAAATCTATGTGCCGCCGATTAGACTATACTATTCTTCGGAAAGCAGCAGAATTGAAGTGAACAAAGCG